TAAACTCAAGGACTTTTTTTTTTTTTTTTTTTTTTTTTTTTTTAACTAGTCATGGATAAAATCAAGTTCAGGAATACATTCAAGAATACTTGTTTATTAAAACATAAAAACTTGTCAATACCACAAAATGGAGACTCAATTATTCACAGATCATGAGCAATTCCAAACTTTCTCAGGTTTAATGAACAACTGCTCTAACTGTATTAGTTATCCAAGTATTACAGCTTGTACTGCAGGACATAAAAGATTCATGCCAGTAGAGATTTAAGATCATGAAAGTAGAACGGTGCTTAATGGTTAGTGAACTGCACTGGAATATTCCTTAAAGCAATTTCTCTTCTATGTCTACATTACAATGCATTTTATTCACCCAAACCATGTGAAAACCACAAATTGTTAAACAGGTTAGGAGCTTACTGCTACCCCAAAATTCAAGGAAAACTTGTGGGCGTCCACATCTAGGCCTGTGCTTCATAGAGCAAACTGGTTTCAGAAAAGCAAGAAATTTTTAGAAATACTGGTTAGTTGTAAGCTTACAAGAAATAATGAAAAATAATAACTCTAATGAAAACAGCAAAATAAGTAAGAAGAACCTTTCCAGAAATGTAATTTTGGATATTGAAATAACACTGTAGTGAAAAGCAAACTTCCATGAAGGATACGCTGCAGCTCTTTCTAATGCCTCTAATTTGGTTTTCACTTAGTGAGACACAAATGAACACAGGAACAATAATTATATTGGCTTGCTATATTTCTGGTATCTCAACAGTTTCTCCTCTCAAACATGTAATGCCACATCTGCATTCTCTGAATATTTCAACTTGATTATAGACCTCCTGCAACCTGTTTTATTTTGTTTGTGCCAGACAAAACCCCAAAAGAACAAAAACAGGCTAACACTTGAAGAGATGCTGTGAGCATAGCTTCCTAGCCACAGGTATGTAATCAGAATTTTCAGTGCTATTTATGAAATCTCCCGCTAATCTAATGCTTGGGAAAGTACAAAAAGCTTGATTTAGGCCATTATTCTTTTGTCTGAGTTTATACCAAATTTCTATTCTATTTTCTTTAGTTACCTTGATGTCCACAGGAACAAAAAGCTTATATTCAGTTGTCCCCTACCCAATTTTTGGGCTGTTCAGACTGTGCTGCAGCTCCTACCTAATATACAGTGGGGTCGTGTTAGGTCAAACCTTTCAAAACTGGAGTTTTCTGCCAGAATTGATGGACAACATCATTCCTTTCAAAGCAGACATTTCTGTTTTCCCTAGCCTATGGATTTTCTTTCTCCTGTCTATCACTATGCTTTTCACATACATCCCACCCATGTTCATTTTCACTTAGACTTACTTGCCTGGCTAATCAGTACATGTCCTGCTTCATCCTCATTCTATCCCTGTTGCATGCTGTCAGCACCTACCTGTTGGCACTACTGCTCTCACTGTAATTCCAAACTTGTTTTGCTACACACAGCTTCTGCCACCTCCAAAAAAACAGCATGTTCCTATGTTACTTTATGCTGCCACTAGAATTTGTGCAGCCCCACACCAAACCATTTCTGGGGACCGGTGCAGGTTAAAGTTTAGCAAGCAAAAAAGCAGCATGCACCTTTCTCAGCAGTGCTGCATTATACCATCTTCAAGTATTTGTATGGGATCAGTATTAAGAACTCTAGCTTCAGAAAGTTTGAGCAGCCCTGAAGTATGAACAATTAATATTCTAAATGTCTCAACATACTGATATTCTTAGAGATCGTAGTGTCTGAAGTAGGAAAGCTTAATCTTTTCCAGCCTCAGTTTACCTGCCTGCAGACCAATGTTTGACTCCCAGGATGTGTCTGGGAACAATCACAACTTGTTAGCACAGAGCTAGTGACCTCTTCTCTTGACAACTCCTTCTCCAAAGAGGAGAGTGGCATGTCCAAGACCTGGGAACCATGGTTAAGCTTAACTCGAAACACCTCAGGAACATCTCCCATGGGTTCTCAAACTGATCAACATGTTTTACTTTCCTGTGTATTGCTTATGTTGTCTGTTCATTTACTGTGAGCTGCAATCTTTACACATTGTCAAGACAAGCAGGCATCACAGGCCATTTTATTTTTGGGGATCAGTGTGGATGGACAGAAGAGACACATATATTGTGATCTTAGTATGGACTTAATTTCTTTTTCAACATTTAAATTGTTTCAAAAACATTTCAAATGTTTTTCAACATTTTAGCATCCTACTTTAAATAGAAAGCTAGGTAATTCAAACTTGGAGTGTCTGTTTCACAGAAGAAAACATGATCATCATCACTAAATATTCTGCTCACGTGTAGTGATCCATACCAGGCCTTACACTTTGGAAAGTTTGCATATCAAAAAGTTAATTAACATATATAGTCCATTTCCGTATGTCTTCCTCTAAAGGTTACTGCAGCAACATTTCCTGGATATCCTTTAAAAATTTAATGGCAGCTTGGCAGTGGTATCATGACAAATAAATTTAAGTGACATACAGGTTGCAGTGGCAGAATACAAAGTATAATGAAGCAGTGTTCTTCTTATGGAGATATGACATGAAAAACATTGACCTGTGGTCCTAAGTCATTTTCATAAGACAAAAGCTTTCTTGGTAATAAAAACAAATCAGTCAATGTTCTAAAAGACTAATATAATTAACCATCAGGGAAGCTATTCAGCTGTGTTAACTCTATTTAGCAAAACAGGAATCATTATTATTCCACCTTTGTACTTAAAGTTTGGTGATAACATTAGCTGTACTATGACAAAGTTGCCTCCTTGATTAATGGGAGATATGTCCAGAAATGGCAGTGGGACTCAACTTAGAAACATATGCTACCTTGCTGGTCATATTAAACAAAGCCAACCTGACATTAGGAACACAAGGCTGGACTTAAATGACAGGACATAATATTAATTGCAGTGAAGTTGAAGACAGTGCAATGTCCCCGCATGAAATATTGCCAACTCAGAGATTGTTTATATTGACAAATGACTAGAACATGAGGTAGATGAAAGAGGGGTCAGGAGTGCAAGTATTTAGCATGGGAAGAAAAAAAAAAAAAAAAAAAAAAGGAAAATTAAAAAAGTACCTTAAAAAAGTACCTTCAGTCCATGAATCCCAAGATGATTCTCAACAAATGACTACTATACTGCCTTGCAAGAGAAACAAAGTTGTGCCTTATAATTTCCTTTGCAAGGTAAAAAAGTTATATTGCTATAGGCACTGAGACTAG